TTGAATACAAATTTTTAAAGTAAATAACTAAAAGGATAATAAAGCAAAATAATAACATAAAAAACCTGACAACTTAGAAAAAAATAAACAAATTCCTTAAAAGGCACAACCTATGAAAGTTCACTTAAGAAGAAAAAGATGATCTGAATAGCCCTCTATCTATTTTAAAAATTAAATTTATGGGCCAGTCGGTGGCCTAGTGGTTAAGTTTGGCACACTTCCCTTCCGCAGCCTAGGTTCGGTTCCCAGGCAGAGACCTATACCACTCGTCTGTCAGTGGCCATATTGTGGTAGCAGTTTACATACAAAATAGAGGAAGACTGGCAACAGACTTTAGCTCAGGGCGAATTTTCCTCAGCAAAAAAATAATTAAATTTATAATTAAAAACCTTCTCCCAAAGAAAACTCCAGGCCCAGACGGCTTCACTGGTGAATTCTATCAAACATCTAAGTAAGAAATAAAACCAATTATATACAAACTTCTTGAGAAAACTGAAGAAAAGAAAATACTTCTCAACTTGTCATATGAGGCCAGCATTACGCTGATACCAAAACCACACAATATTACAAGAAAAGGAAACTGCAGACCAACATCCCTCAGGAACACTGATACAAAAATTCTCAAAAAAATTTTAGCAAATTAAATCTCGTGATATAAAAAAAGGATAATATATAAAGACTAAATGGATTTAATCCAGGAATGCAAGATTATTTTAACATTTGAAACATCTGAAAATCAATGAATACATTTCAACATATTATCAAACATCTAAGCAGAAAAAGACAAAACACTTGACAAAATCCAATATCAATTCTCGAAAAAAACTGGAAGGTAATTTCTACAAGCTTACAGAAGATATCTACAATAAACTCACAACTAACATCATACTTAATGGCGAAAGGCTAAATGCTTTTCCCCTAAGGTTAGGATTAAGACATAGATGTCTGCTGTCAATACTTCTCTTGAACTTTGTGCTAGAGTTTCTAGCCAGTGCAAAAAGGCGAGAAAAAGAAAGAAAAGGCATCCAAATTGGAAAGGAAGAAGTAAAAGTGTCTTTGTTTGCAGATGACATGATCATCTACATAGGAAATCCAATGGGATCTAACTTCTAGATGCAAATGCAAGAGAAACTGTTTGCAACTTTGGGTCAGGCAAAGATTTTTTTTTAGAGACAAAACCAAAAACACAATGCTCTAAAGACAAGATTGATAGATAGTGCTTTACTTTTCAGTAGAACAAATGACAGCTTTTCAGTTTTAAGAGGAAAGGTTGACATATTCCCTGTTTTTCTTTGGGTTTCCCACCATTGTTAGCTCTCAACATTCCCTCTTTGAAAGGCAATACTACCCACTTAAACCACTTCCTCTCAAACACCTTTCTCTAGCCCCCTTCCCATCCCCAAAACTCTCCTGCCTTTCTCAATTATGTTAGCACTTGTCTCCATCCCTCACCAAAATAACTGACACTTCAATATCCACATTGATGATTCCTCCACTGGCCTGACCTCATAAATCCTCAGTCTTGTTACCTATTAATCCTATTTCTCATTCCTTTCACTACCTTACTTTTCTAAAGAGTACAATTCCAGTTAAACATAGTAAATAGAACACGTGGCTACTTCTCCACTCCTTTCCCAAACCCAACTGAAATATAATATAGTTATTTAAAGCATAAATTCGCAATAACAAAGAAAACAGAAGGGGACAACCACAGATAAGACATGTAAACAGAATGTAAGATTCTGCAAAGCAGGTAAGTGGTAACGGATTAGCATATCATGAAACATTGAAACATAAATGTTCTGCAAAGGAGACATCAAAAAGAAATGGCCACTTGGGGGAGGGAGAATTGGAGGAACGTGGTCAAAAGGTACAAACTTCCAATTATAAGATAAGTAAGTACTAGGGATGTAATGTACAACATGATGACTATAGTTAATACTCCTGTATGATATATAGGAAAGTTGTTAAGAGAGTAGATCCTAAGAGTTCTCATCACAAGGAAAAATTTCTTTTTCTTTTCTTTTTATTGGATCTATGTAAGACGATGGTGTTAATTAAACATATTGTCATTTCACAATATATATAAATCAAAACATCATGCTGTACACCTTAAACTTAGACAGCAATATACGTCAATCATTTCTCAATAAAACTGGAGTTAAAAAAAAAGAGAAAAGGCCAATTTACAGTCAGACAATTCCAGTAAAGCTCAGGAACTGGAGAAACCTAAATAGAGGAAGAAGAGAAGGTACAGAAACAGGAGGACTGATTCAAAGTCTACATAAGGAGCAAGCAGAACTCTAGTTCCTGTTGCTCAGCCCACACAGACATACAACTATTCTTCCCCAATGCCAAAGAAAACAAGAGAAAAAAATGAACCAGAGAACCTTTGGACTCAGAGACACCAGGCAGCTTAGCAAAAACAGGATGATCAACTAAAATACGACTCTTAGAACACTCAACCTATGTTCCTTATCTATTCCCGTAACACAACAGAGTAGTCAAACAAAATATAGGACACCAGTTAAATTTCAATTTCAGATAAACAATAAACAATTTTTACCATTTGTATGTCCCAAATATTGCATGCAAATTTAACTGGTGTCCTATATTTTTATTTGCTATATCTGGCAACTCTACCTTCAGACTAGAGGACAGAGAATTCCTCTTTGGGGAAGCTGACTGGCCCAGGGAAGGAAGTAAAAGATATTAACATAAAGTGGTTCTCAACAAAATCACAGATGCTTACCTTATCACACACACCACACACACATCCTCCACAGGAACAGTGTTTTCTCTACAATATACTCAAATCCTAAGACCCACAACTGAAAGAAACACACATTTTATTAACTTTCCAAAGTAAAACAGATAAGACTTTTTTAACTTTGAATAAATACAGTGAAATGTGATATTTAAAGAAGACAATGGAAATAAATAGAGCAAAAATCCAAGAACTATTAAAGCGTGTAAAATTTCATCTTTATTGCCGTCAAAGAACAATTAACAGTGCAATTTTGGCCTTTATTTTTTTGGCCCTTATTTTTAAATTTTATATTTTTATAATCCTGGAGTTAAAAAACCATATTGTTTATCCAAAGGATTTTTAAGTGAGATAAATTCATCAATATACTAGTATTTTAGTAATGAAATGAGAGCAAAATACAGCTATGTGTTAAAATATTCCACATGATTCACTATGCTAATAAATCACAGAAGAACTCAGGGAAGGTGGGTTATAATGAAACTCTGTGTCAAAAGAAAAAATAGCAGGGCACAAGGGACCAACGAGATAGGGTAGTAAAGAAGACAAAGCCATCCCGACCGGTGTGAGGTGATACCTCATTGTAGTTTTCATTTGCATTTCCCTGTTAGCTAATGATGTTGAGCATCTTTTTATATGCCTGTTGGCCATCCGTGTATCTTCTTTGGAGAAATCTCTGTTCAGATCTTTTGCCCATTTTTTAATTGGGTTGTTGGTTTTTTTGTTGTTGAGATGTATATGTTCTTTGTATATTTTGGATATCAACCCCTTATCTGATATATGGTTTGCAAATATCTTCTCCCAATTGTTAGGTTGTCTTTTCGTTTTGTTGATGGTTTGCTTTGCTGTGCAGAAGCTTTTTAGTTTGATGTAGCCACATTTGTTCATTTTTTCTTTTGTTTCCCTTGCCCGGTCAGACATGGTACTTGAAAAAATGTTGCTAAGACTGATGTCAAAGAGAGTACTGCTTATGTTTTCTTCTAGAAGTTTCATGGTTTTGGGTCTTACATTCAAGTCTTTAATCCATTTTGAATTTATTTTGGGCAATGGTCTACTTTCATTCTTTTGCACGTGGCTGTCCAGTTTTCCCAACACCATTTATTGAAGAGACTCTCCTTTCTCCATCGTATGCTCTTGGCTCCCTTGTCGAATATTAGCTGTCCATAAATGTGTGGGTTTACTTCTGGGCTCTCAGTTCTGTTCCATTGATCTGTGTGTCTGTTTTTGTGCCAGTCAGAATGGCTATAATTAACAAGACAGGAAACAACAAATGTTGGAGAGGATGTGGAGAGAAGGGAACCCTTGTTCACTGCTGGTGGGAGTGCAAACTGGTGCAACCACTACGGAAAGCAGTATGGAATATCCTCAAAAAATTAAAGATAGATTTACCATATGATCCAGTTATCCCACTGCTGGGTATTTATTCAAAGAACTTGAAAAGACAAAGGCATAAAGATACTTGCACCTCTATGTTCATTGCAGCATTATACACAAAAGCCAAGACTTGGAAGCAACCTAGGTGCCCATCAAAGGACGAATGGATAAAGAAGATGTGGTATTTATACACAATGGACTACTACTCAGCCATAAGAAATGATGAAATCCGGCCATTTGTGACAACATGGATGGACCTTGAGGGTATTTTGCTGAGTGAAATAAGTCAGAGGGAGAAAGTCAAATACCCTATGATCTCACTCATAAGTAGAAGATAGAAAAACAACAAACCAACACATAGCATTGGAGATTGGATTGGTGGTTACCATAGCGGGAGGAGGGAGGGCAAAAGGGGTGATTAGGCTCACATGTGAGGGGACGGACTACAATTAGTTTTCGCATGGTGAACACGATGTAATCCACACAGAATTAGAAATATATTATGATGTACATCCAAAAATTAATTAATAAATTAAAAATAAATAAATTTTATAAAAAAGAAAACAAAGTTTGTAAGAATTGCTCTCAAACCAAACTAATCCTCAGAATAACCCAAACATCTATTTAAAAAAAGATTTCAAAGTTTGAAAATTTCAGACCTACTGACTCAGACATCAGGAGGTATGGCCCAAAATTTGTAATTTTTGAAACTTTCCCCATGAGATTTTGTAATCAGTATGATTTTGCAACCATGACCATAAAATGCCAACTTGGGAATGTTCATTCAGTGGTATGATCTATTTGCTTTAAGCACAATTATGTTGCTATATACAATAAACGATAAAATTATTCTTCTTACCTTAGATACATTGCTGACATAATTCATTTGGATAGTACTTTCCTTATCAACTTGATTACAAAGGTTCTGTAAAGTAGATGCATATTCTTTATCACTTTTTATTCTCAGGGCCATAAATTTCTTCACTGTTTCCAGTAACCGTAATTCCCAGTCTTGCAGTTTTAACACAGCTTCATGTGAATTCTTCAGGTCACTCCCAAACCCCATTTTGTAAGGCACTCTCTTATCCTCCACACTGCACAAGTGAGCCTTCTAATCAGCACATATCTGTATGAAAACAGAAGAAAAAAATCTTAAAACAAAAGAAAATTAGTCTTCAAAGCAAAGTTACGGTCCACTCTTTTTAGAATTAAAAAAATCACTACAATTGAATGTTTTCACTCAAAGATCAGGAACAAAATGAGGATGTCCACTTTCACCACTTCTATTCAACACTATACTGGAGGTTCTAGCCAGTATAATTATTTTATAAATAAATAAAACAATTTCCACTGAAAGTGGAAAGGAAAAAGTAAAACTATCTTTATTTGCAGATGACATGACACTGTATATAGAAAATCCTAAGGAATGCAACAAAAAAAAAAGTATTAGAACTAATATATGAGCTCAGTAAGACTACAGAGTACAAGATCAATATACAAAAATAAACTGCATTTCTATACACTAGCAACGATCAATCCAAAAATGAAACTAAAAAATCAATTCTATTTATAAGAACATCAAAAAGAATTAAATATTGAGGAGTAAATTTAACAAAAGAAATGCAAAACTTATACTCTTAAAACTACAAAACATTGTTGAAAGAAATGAAAAAAGTACTAAATAAATGGAAAGACTCATGTTAATGGCTCCAAAAGACTTAATATTGTTAAAAAAGCAATACTCTCCAATTTGATCCTACAGATTTAACTCAATCCATATCAACAACTAAGCTAGCTTTTTTTTTTTTTGAAGAAATTGACAAGTTAATCCTAAAATTCATATAGAAATGTAAAGGAGGGGCCAGCCCAGTGGCATAGCAGTTATGTTCACACACTCTGCTTTGGTGGCTCAGGGTTCACAGATCCAGATCCCTGGCGTGCACCAACACACCGCTCATCAAGCCATGATGTGGCAGCATCCCACACACAAAATAAAAGAAGACTGGTAGAGATGTTAACTCAGAGACAATCTTCCTCATGCTAAAGGAGGGAAATTGGCAATGGATGTTAGGCTCAGGGCCAATCTTCCTCACCAAAAAAAGAAAGAAAGGAAAAATGCAAGGCAGGCAAAATAACCAAAAACAAATCTTGAAAAAGAAGAATAAACTTGGAAGACACACATTTCCTGATTTCAAAACTTACTGAAAACCTACAGCAATCAGGGCAATGTGGTACTGGCATATAGATAGACATCGAGATGAGTATAACAGAATAGAGGGTCAAGATATAAATCCTCACAATTATAGTAAAACGATTTTCTACAAAGGTGCCAAGTCTATTCAACAAGGAAAAAAGTCTTCTCAACTAATAGTGTTGGGACAACTGGATTTCCACATGCAAAAGAATAAAGCAGGATGCCTTACACAGACTATACACAAAAAATTAACTCTAAGGGAAAAACAAATCTAAATATCAAAGTTAAAACTATAAAACTCTCAGAAGAAAACATAGTAGTAAATCTTCGTGACCTTGGCTCAGGTAATGATTTCTTAGATACGACACCCAAAGCACAAGCAACAAAATAAAAATACGTAAATTGAATTTCATCAAAATTAAAAACTTTTGTATTTCAAAGGCCACCGTCAAGAAAGTGAAAAGACCACAGAGTGGGAGAAATTATTTTCAAATCAAATATCTGATAAAGGACTTCTATCTGGAATATATAAAGAATTCTTACAATTCAGTAATAAAATGACAAACCAATTAAAAATAGGCAAAGGATCTGAATAGATATTTCTCCAAATAAGATTTACAAATGTCTGACAAGCACACAAAAAGACGTTCAATAGCATTAGCCATTAGGAAAATATCAATCAAAACCACAATGAGATACCACTTCACACCACTAGAACGTCCATAATCAAAAAGACAGATAATAGCAAGTGCTGGAGACTGTGAAGAAATTAGAACCCTCATATACTGCTGGTAGAAATGTAAAACAGGCAGTTACTCAAAAGTTAAACATAGAGTTATCATATGATCCAGAAATTCCACTCCAAAGTATATACCCAAGAAAAATGAAAACATATGCCGTACAAAAACCTATACATGAATATTCAAGCAGAATTATTCATAATAGTCACAAAGGGGAAACAACTCAAATGTCCATCAACTCATGAATGGATAAATAAAACGTAATATATCCATACAGTGAAATATTATTTGGCAATGAAAAGGAATGAAGTATTGATATAAGCTACAACATGAATGAACCTTGTAAATATTTATGCTAAGTGAAAGAAGCCAGACACAAAAGACTGACATATTGTGCGATTTGTTCATATGAAATACCCAAAAGTCATAGAGACAGATAGTAGATTAGTAGTTGCCTAGGGCTGGCAAATTTGGGAAGAAATGAGGAATGACTGCTAACAGGTACTGGATTTCAGTTTGGGGGATGACAATATTCTAAAATTGGGGTGATGGTTGCTCAACTCTGTGAACAGAATAAAAATCATTGAACTGTACAGTTTAAATGGGCAAATTCTTCAGCACGTGAGTTATATCTCAATAAAGTTGCTTAAAAAAATCAGTACAGCATAACTCAATGATCATCTAAAGGTCAGTTATCAGAAACTTCTCCAAAATATCCTGCTTGTTTGCTATAAACCCCAAAAACTGTGATAGAATTTATTTTGCTCTCTAGTCTCATAGAATTTCAGGCAGTGAATCTTTCGGGGCCAGATAAAAGAAATGAAGAAACACACCTTTTATTTTTAGTTCTGGCTCATCCATAACAGAAGTCAATTTCTTGTTAATTCAGCTGAGATCCTCTAAGATACACATAAAAATGAGCAGAGGTTTATCTCTCTTTTTTTTTAAAGATTGACACCTGAGCTAACAACTATTGCCAATCTTTCTTTTTTTGTTGTTTTCTGCCTTTTTTCTCCTCAAAACCCCCCAGTACATAGTTGTATATTTTTCATTGTGAGTCCTTCTAGTTGTGGCATGTGGGAGGCGACCTCACCGTGGCCTGATGAGCGGTGCCATGTCCATGCCCAGGATCCGAACCCAGAGAAACCCTGGGCCACCAAAGCCAAGCCTGCGAACTTAACCACTCGGCCACGAGCTGGCACAAAGGTTTATCTTTCTAATGTCAGTGATATTATCTAAAGAGAGGGTAAAAATGTGGGTTCTCCAAATAAAGTACAAATTAAAAATTTTCCCCAAGTGAAAACTGTCCAGTTTAATGATCTATCAAATAAGCAAAGGGCGGAAAAGGTTGTGGAAAACTGCACTTCATCAAAGTGTCCAAAGTACCAAATGGACATTAACAAAACTAAGTCACAATAAAGTAACTGACTTATTCACATTAATATCCAGTAGGATAATTCCAGCTTTTTCACTCTGTATGCAGTAGCTTTAAAAAATTTACTTTAATATGCTATAATTTATGGAGCATATAAATTTATGATGAACCTTTTCTTTTATTTTACTGGAGCTCAAGAAAGTGAAGATACATTCTATCTCATTCCATGTTTTCAATGGAAGAATAAGAAACATTTTTTGAGGCTAAAGAAAAGTGGACCATTTTACTTTTTTTCTTTTTAACTATATTTGAGATTGTGGTTCATTTTATTTTTTAAACTTTGGATAAATATCATTTCTGCTTATAAATGCATCAAGCTCTGGTCTAAACTTTGACAATATTTTTTAATTCCATTATCAGGAATTTCAAAAGGATTATGAAGAGCACAGAAGAATAAAAAGGAAAACAGAATCTGGCAGCTATTTGAGAAACAATCCAGCCCACTCTAAGTGTTTATTTATATAGACCAACATGCTAGGTCAGAGTGAATATAAAATAATTTAATACACGGTACCAACTCCTTAAGGGATGACAAATAATAAAAATTTTAAAAACAAGTCTATAATAAATTAATACTATGTCTACTTGTTAAATTGGTAGAGATTATAACACCTTAGGAATTAAGGGAATGACATCCTACAGATAATTTTCCCATAGACGTCAAATGACATATATAAAACTATTCATTTCAGTAGTGTTTGAAATAACAACAAAAAAAATCTGGAAATATCAATCAAAAGGAACTGACTAGGTAAATTACAATCAAGGCTGCTGTATTTGATTGTAATTGAATAATTCTAGAGAGTGCCATTCAAATCATAGTCTATGTGAATTTGCTCCGTGTCCAACCTTCACAAGTAAATGTGGTAGACCAGATCCTGGTATATTCATTTAGCGGAATATCATTTGGGCCTAATAAAAATGAGAAAACGTTTTGTGTATTGATCTGGAACCATCATTAAGAACCATTAATTTAAAAAAAGTAAGATACAGGAGCCGGCCCTGTGGCCGAGTAGTTTAAGTTCACACGCTCTGCCATGGTGGCCCTGGGTTTTGCCAGGTTCGAATCCTGGGCACAGACATGGCACCACTCATCAAGCCATGCTGAGGAAGCATCCCACATGCCACAACTAGAAGGACCCACAACTGAGAATATATAACTATGTACCGGGAGACTTTGAGGAGAAAACGAAAAAAATAAAATCTTAAAAAAAAAAAGTAAGATATAGAACTTGGTATGCTTACATTGTATAAAAAGGAGGAAGAATAATAGAAATTAATTTTGCTTATAAGTGCATAAAGTATTTTTAGAACACATAGTGGCTGGAGCACAGCTGTAAGAGGGAGACTTTTTATTGTATATCCTTTTGTACCTTTCAATTTTGTTCTAAGTGAATGTATTGATATCATCTATTCAAAAAATTAATTTATAAAGTAAATTTTGAAGAGAAAAAAAAATTAATGAAAGCTGGACTAGTTCAGAAAAGTTTCCTAGAAATGGCAAGATATGAGCTAAGGCTGGAATAACAACTATGATTTAGATTACAAAAAATCAAAAGGGAAATGTATTTCAGGAAGTAGCAGCAGTATGAAGCAAAAAAAGTGAATATAATGTGAAGTAAAGAAAGAAATGGCTCCAAAATCAGGCTCTATATGGCAAGTAGCAGAAGATGACATGCCAATTTATTTCCTGCTATTCACTGTTCAGGAAACTAATAAGACTCAAACTCCTTTAATTAATTGATTTTTAAGGCAAA